CAATTCTTTCTAATCCTTTTCCCAAAGTCTAATTTATTTCTTCAGTATTTTATATTATGCTGTGGTTCTCTAAATTCACTGTGATTTCTCCACATGCTTTTTAAAATTCAAAAATCAAAACTTGACAAATTATGCTGTAAAAACCTCACCATCACTGAATATGTTCAGATGGGCTTCCTCAATTCTAACTTTGGTCTTTCATCATTCTTGTGTATTTTTCCATTACAAATGAGATCAATTCATTCTATTTATTCTTTTTTATTTTATATCTATCTATCTGTCTATCTATATGTGTCTGTAGATAGACAGAAAATTTAAATTAGCACAGAATGATTGCATGTATTTATAGTTTATAGTGTGATTTTTTTTTTTTAATTGCCAAAAGGCACATGTACCTCCCAGAAGAGTGGAGGGAGAGAGAAAAAGCACCCCCCAGTGGGGGTTAGTCATGCTACAGTCCTTTTTCTTTTTTTTAATTTATTTTTTATTTCAATTTATTTATTTGCATTTATTCACTGTACATCATTACAGCATACAAAATGAGATTTTCCATCCAGAGTACACTGTATATTGTCTCAATCAAGCACATCAACAAACATGTTATTGTCAGCAAATGATCTTCCATTTTGTGTTTTCTGTATGTTTTGCTTTTTTTCCCCCATCCTTGATTCCCTATCTCTTACCCTCTGCCATCTCGCACTCTCCTCCCACACTGTCTCTGGTATCTATGTTTGCTTTCTATACTGTTTTCCCCCCACATTTTATTGAATCACCAAAGACCCTAATCAATCCAAATACCCTCATAGCAAACACAGGTGACACACACATTACCATGAACACAAGTCTAACTTTACGCATCCTATAAAGTAGCACCTAGCTGAGGCTACATATCCTACTGCAGTCAGTGAATAGATATTTTTTTTCCCTGAAACTTTCTTTTTTTGTAACTCAATTTACATTCCTTCCCTAAGCATCATCACAGCGCACAAAATGCGATCTCCCATCCAGTACACACTGCATAGTGACTCAATCATGCACATTACAAAAAATTTTCCAATTCTAGTTCCTAGAATTCTTTCCACCCCTCTGTCTGACCCTCTGTCCCTTCCCACCCTCCTCTCACACCACCTCCGGTGTCCACAATTGTCCTTCATTTCCTTCCCACCCACATTGCATTGATCACACAAATTTCCCACATAAACTAACTACTTTCAATGGTGAGTTCACTCATTACTACTAAGAAAACCAGTTTTAACTTAAATCAAAGAAACACCAAGGAACTGTTCTTAAAGCCAGGGAACAGGTTAGGATTCTGTTCAAATAGTAGGTACATGAACCTATCAGCAGCTCAAGACAGGACAAAAATCCTTAAAGCCGGGAAACAAAGCCTGTAAGAAAATCAGTGATGTTTTAGACAAAAGTCATAAAATGCTATTTCACCAATTCAGTCTCATGTACTTAATCTATCTTCTGTTGTGGCTCAATTTTCCCAATTAAATTCTGGGATATAATGTTCAACTCCAGACTTGTCCTTACAATTAAGTTGGCCATTTTCTTAGTCTTTGAACTCTTATTTCTGT